ATGCCCCTGTAGTGGTCAGTAACATGGTCAGTCATAAAAAAGTTTTACAACTTGCTTTCCTTTTTGCTATTTAGAATCCAAGGAAGCAAGGGCCTGAGACGCAAGGTAGCACGGCTGAATTAATTACAGGCCTTGTACAACTTGTTCCGCAATCCAGCATGCCAGATATAGCACAAGAAGCCATGGAGGTAAGGGGTAGATGTTCTCTATGCCAAATGATTAGTACACAGACAAATCAAGGCTTTTGTAGAAGCTCTGAAGTATTGATTAGCTATGAAGTTCTGTGTCTTAGAGTTTGGTCTCTATTGATCTTTTTCTAAATGTCTCCTGCACTGAAAGTTTTACAGGAGAGGCCTATAAGAAAATTTTAAAAAGCAATTAATATTGCCTCTTGTGACTACCCTGCATCTCTTAATATGGTGTGTTCATCCCTGCTGTTGATCAAATACAGTTTGACAGTTCCTCTGTTCCATCTTTGCAGAGAGCACCATTAAGCTTGCACTTTCTCTTCTATGTTTTCTAAATGGCTGTGAGAAAAATGTCTAATGCAGTGGCTGGTCCTGTATTCTGTTGTGAATCAGAGGAGGTTGTATGTGTGGGAGGGATGGATTGGATACTTTAAGGCTACTGAAATCTTCTTCCTGCCAGCTTTGACTGAAGGAGCTAACGTCACCAAAGTTAATTCTGATTTTTAGGCTTTCCATGCAAAGTTGCTGATTCTGTGTCTTTGCTAGTTCAGTTGTAACATTTGTATGTTTTTCACTGTGGTGGGTCTCCAGAGCACTTCATATACAATGAAAGCAGGCTTCAGCTTCTCCTTGTACATAACAGAAAGATTTTTTTTTTTTTTTAATCCATGGTGCCAGTTACATTTTCTTGCCTTCTTTTGATTCCCATTCTAAAAAGTGTAGAGTAGAGTGTGTGCTTCACTGATGTCTTTCATGTTTTAGGTTTTCACAGGTAGACTGAAAAAAGGATTAACTATACCTCTATGCTATTAAAGCTTTACATAAATATTTGAATTTTAGTAGGTAAACTAAGGCCTTTTTGTTAAACCTTGCCTCAACAAGAATTGCCACAAATAGTGTCAATATACTACTATCAATATATGAAATACATATTTCTTGATAGTTTAATGGTAGAATTTAAGGATGTTACTTGTATAAGAATAATCCTTTTCAGTGTGAAAGTCTCTGGGGAAGTTTATGTTGGGTGGTAACATCCTTACTGTCATTTACAGGAACTTAGAGATTGAAAAGTTTTGGCCGTTACGTAATTTAATTTTGGTGTACTGTTCAACCTTGATTCTTTATTGATCTTAATCCCTAATCTACCTGACTGTTGGCTTAACTAGCTGAGGGTTGGTCTCTCATGTCTGTTTTTGATTAGTAGGTTACTAAAGAAGTTCTGGAATATTTGTTTAAAATAGGAAGCAATTTGAAATAATTACTTAAATATTGTTGGAGAACAGTATGGGTTGGCTTTTTTTAAAAATGCCATTTTTAATAGCAATCCTTTTGCAGCAAACTTTTTTTTAAATTTGTGAGGAAAAATAGCTAAGACTTTCCTCATTTCTGTCTTTAACTTGTATTTTCACCAAAGCGAAAATTTATTTGCCTGCATATCAGACAGCCCCAAGTAACAGGTGATTTAAGAGGAGAGATTTTGTTTGTTATAGTTGTTTGGTATAATTAAGGACAAACAACTTCTAATCAATAATTTTCTGTTTGTTTATAGCCTTTGACCAGTTTAATTTTTATTAGGTATGTCTTTCTTCTGAAAATTGTCTAAACAGCTAATTTATAAGCAGTTGATTTTTGAGATTTTTGTAGTTAATCTGACTAAATCAAAAGCAGAGATTAAAGTTTTGGCCATAGTTCAGCAGTATGTTCTTAGATATGGTGTCCTGGTTTCGGCTGGGATAGAGTTAATTTTCTTCCCAGTAGCTGGTACAGTGCTGTGTTTTGGATTTAGGGTGAGAACAATGTTGATAACACACCGATGTTTTAGTTGTTGCTGAGCAGTGCTTACACTAGTCAAGGACTCTTCAGCTTCCCATGCTCTACTGACTGAGCAGGCTGGAGGTGCACAAGAAGCTGGGAGGGGGCACAGCCAGGACAGCTGACCCCAACTGGCCAACGGGACATTCCATACCGTGGGACGTCATGCTCAGTACATAAACTGGGGGAAGCTGGCTGGGGGGGCCGCTGCTCGGGGACTGGCTGGGTATCGGTCGGCGGGTGGTGAGCAATTGCATTGTGCATCACTTGCTTTGTATATTCTTCTTATTCTTATTACTATTCTTCCTATTAGTATTTTATTCTATTTCAATTATTAAACTGTTTTATGTCAACCCACGAATTTTCTCACTTTTACTCTTCCAATTCCCCCCTACCCCCGGGGGGGGGGGGGGAGTGAGTGAGTGGCTGTGTGGTGTTCAGTTGCCGACTGAGGTTAAACCACGACATGTGGTCAGAACCTATTCTTACCGAAGTTTTTGCTTGTGCAGGGAATAGTTACAAAGAGCAAAGTGTTTGCCTGTCCTGACTTGGCAAAGAGCTTGAACTGCAGAAATTTTGCTGTTACCACTAGAGGTTTATATCTGTAGGATTGGTTGCATTAATTTTTTTGCAGCTGGACATTAAGTAAATATTAAAGCTCAAACCTATCTTTTAAAAACATTGTGCCTGCGTGCCTAGTACGGATTTGTACAGATGTATGAGGTAAAACCTCTAGGTTTGGGTTATAAAGATGTAATAAAAACTAAAATGAAATACTTTTGACATGGACTAACAATGAACTCTTGTTCTTCTATATAAAATGCTTTTTGTATCTTTTGTTGTTTTTAAAACAATGTAATTACTATGTGGTTGCACCTATTTCTCTGCCTATGCTGATGTACTTCATAGATTTCTGCCTTTAAGTGAAACTACTTTGTTTTGAATTTAGGCCTTGCTAGTTCTTCACCAGTTAGACAGCATTGACTTGTGGAATCCTGATGCACCTATAGAAACATTCTGGGAAATTAGGTATGTAAGTTAACTTTTGTAAATTAGAGAAATAGCTGTTTTGATTTGTCTTCTCTTTTGAAATAGCTGTGAATGTTTTGGGAAACCTATGCAACATCGGCATGAATCTGCAGTCAAAATTATTATGTGTTCATGAAAACATTTTATCTTCCTTATAACATTTTGCTGGCTTTCTTAATGACTCTCTTCAGTCTGATGTTAAGGTGTAGAAATGATTATTAGTTTGAAAAGTTAGAGACTTTTCCACCTCATTCAAATGTTTAGTACTTGTTTAAATTCTTTTTTTATCTTTTTTGGGGCCGAGGGAGGGTAATGCTAAGCAATTCTAGAAGTGTGGATTTGCTAATCTTGACTCTGAAGCCCTCACCTAAAGAAGGTGGTAGTTTGCCCTGACCTGTGAGCTCCATTTGTCTTTCCTATGTATTTAAAGAATTTTTATTCATTAAAGTCATCTTGCTTTTTATAACTTCACAGCAGCTGTTGCGGTTGATTTCTTGCAGAGTATTAAGGGAAATGAAGTTCCAAAAAAGTCAGAATTACACAAAGTGCTAAATCAAAAAATAGGAGTCTGTAAACTCAGATTTCTAAGAATTGCATGAGCTAAACAGTTTTAAAAAGAAATATTTGGTGATCTAATCTGAAGTGGTACAGATCTTTGCTTTAGAAGAAAGGCAACGACAGTCTAGGAGGAACACTCTTACCAGCATCAACAAATTGGCCTGCATGACTGCTAAATATGGCTCAAGGGGCTTGTTATGGGATAGGTGTGGGGCTGAGCCCTACCTAGATGGGTAATAACTGAAACTCATTACTGTAATTTCTAATAGTAGAAATGAGTTTGTGGTCTGTTCGGGCTGGGGGAAAAACCCATTAAAATTGACACTAATTTGGACCCTTTGGCAGTTTTAACAGAGAGTGTGAGGCCTGAATGGATATGAAGAAGGAACATCCCTAGATGTGTTCCTTCCAGAACAGAGTTGAGACACGTTGTCAGAGCAGTGTAGGTAAACTTGTACTGCCACTGTCTGTGCTGTATCTGTTCTGTGGATAAATGGAGGACTTCTGAATCGACAGCCCCGGAGTCTGGACTTCTAACAAGTACCCAAATCGCTTAACTTCCTCTAGGGAACTAAAAAGGCCAGCTGGGTGGTGGGAAGGGTCAGAGGGGAGCTTGTTGTTTAAAGTACACACCTATATTGTATCTATTATACATTTTAAAAGATGATGCTAGTATGTGTATAGGATATTCATGCTAATTGCCTATTTCTATGTAAAATGTAGTAATATCTTCAAAAATTTTGTTACTAGATTATAAAGCTAATGCTGAATTTCATTTTGCTGCAGTTCACAAATGCTTTTTTGTATCTGCAAGAAACTAACTAGTCATCAGATGCTCAGCAGTACAGAAATCCTCAAGTGGCTGCGAGAGATTCTCATCTGTAGGAATAAATTTCTTCTAAAAAACAAAGTAAGTAAATGTCAACATGTATCTGTTAGGATCATTAAAATTAATTGCTCTGTTTTGTTCACCAGGTTATTTTTATGATTGGAAGAGATATAATAACTACACCTACACTTTCTGTTTTCCGATTTCCTCTCTGCTGAGAGACGGTGCTTTGTGAGGCACCCTTGATTAGAATTGTTAGCTGAAGTTAGGTTTAGGATCTTTTTTCTACTTTAGCTACACAGGTTGTCTTACTTGCCTGGAAAATGTGTGTTTTGCAGAAACCTGGTGCCTGATACCTATTTGCCTAATACAAAGGGAAATAGTCCACAAGGTGAGGAAAAGGGAAAGTTAGTTATGATAAAATATACTTCTTCATGGATGAAATAAAAATTTCTCTTTGGATCTCATGTTCATGTGAGTCCTAGAATTCTGACCTGCTTCTTTCCAATAATCTCAAGAGACTTTTTCCAAGCCGAACACACATTGTAATGCTATACTTGCTAGAATTAAAGCCAGACTTGCTATATTACTTTTTGAATTAAAGATCTACTAGAAAAAATAAAGGGTTTCTGTTTTTTCTGTCTGACCTGAAAGTAGCTGTGCTAATGTGAGGAGGATACTGTCTTATGTGTAGTATATAGCATGCTTAAAAAGTCCTCTTTCAGCAAGAGGATTTTTGCCTTTGAATGATTTTTTTTCTTTTCTTCTCTTTTCAACTTTGGTAGCTCTGTTACTGATGGACGCTACTGTTTGTCTGTGTTGATGCTGAGTAGTAGGCTTTTTCCTTTGGTATCTCCCATTTAATACATATTTGTAAAATACAATCTCACGTATTGCAGCTGAAGACCTTAGGCATTCTGGCTTTCTATGAATTCAGGAAGACTTTTACATTTGGCCTCTAAGTGGAAATCAACTGTCCTTCAAATAGAGAGTATGCTTAATATTATCGTCCTCCTTCTAGTTAAGAAGTAATTAGTTGTTTTTAAAAATGTCTTTCCTCTTAGTGCTTAGAGGATGTTCATTAATATCAGGATCAGAAAAAGATAATAGTTGTCATTAGAGCTCTGCTTGACAATCTCAGTTCCTGCTTTTCTGATCTAATATAAAATGTAGAGAATAAAATGTACAGTACTGAGCATGGCTTCTTTAGACTTAATTACATCTAAATTATAATTACATTTATTTTAGTGTGTATTCTGTGAACTAAAACCAAGAAGCCTGTAGGGCTTTCAGGGGGCTCCAAGAAAGGGAGGAAAAGGCATTGTTTTGTGCTTACCTCAAGGTGATGTTTTTGAAGATGACTCTCCAGATAATTTCTTAAGGGGAAACATCATTCTAAGATACCATTAAAGTGGGTAACTTTATAAAGCCCTGAGAGCACCAGTGTGAAAAGTACTGTGTAAATGTTGAAGAGCTTTTTTACCTTCCTGAAATCTATCCTTTTTACCCTTTTTAAAAAAGAAGTTTGTTTATTATTTTTCTTGCCTCTCTTTATAGCAATCAGATAGGAGTTCCTGCCACTTTCTCTTCCTTTATGATGTCTCTGGAGGTGGAACTAGTCAAATTTCTCTTGACCATGAAGAGATGATACGCTGTGCTCCAGGAGCTACCCTCAGGAAAGGGAAAGGGAATTCTTCCATGGTAAGTAATATATGATAATAATTCTTTTTAACACTTGGGGAGAAAAACCTGTGTGCAAGTAGAAATTAAATTACTTTGAGAGTAATTAAAAAAAAAAAATTAATTCTGAAGAGGAAAAGGCATCTGTATCCTGCATAATGTATGTATCTAATGTTGGTTAATAATGATGTTTCAGACTTCAAAAAGTCACACCTTTTTCAAGTTAAAATGTTGGTGAATATTTTTTTTTAGGATTGCACATAGGATCCCTACATATCAGTCTATTGTTAATAAATCTGAAATCTCACTTTTTAAAGTATTGCATGCAGTTTGAATGTGCCGTGAAGGATCGTAAAACCAAGCATTTTAGTAAGGTATACCCTTTGACAGACAAGTTTCTCAAGCCTAGCTTTACTACTAGTTCTAGCTGCAGGAAAAAAAATGAAGAGGATATTTAGAACATCTTTTATGAGCCAAAACTTTAATTTTGTTTTTTAATGTACGCTTTTCCAGTATCAATAAGATTTTCCTAAGTACATGGTTATCCTTATGAAAGGAGCAGGTTCTTAGCCACTGTGTTCATGCAACAGCATATAAGAGCTCTGATCTTGTTTAGGATTGCTTATTCCTACTGGAATAAAAGCAGTTTTAAAGAACAATTTGGATAAGGCTGAATTCGAATAAAGTTGCCATATTCATAAGCAATATTACCAAATTCGGAATTTTTATTTCCCAAGGAAAGTACAGCAGGATGCAGTGGAACACCGATTTGTCGCCAAGCCCAAACAAAATTGGAAGTCGCCTTATACATGTTTTTGTGGAGCCCGGATATTGAGGCAGTCCTTGTTGCAATGTCCTGTTTCCGTCACCTCTGTGAGGAAGCAGATATCAGATGTGGAGTAGATGAAGTCTCAGTGCATAATTTTTTGCCAAACTACAATACTTTCATGGAGTTTGCATCTGTTAGCAATATGATGTCAACAGGTAAGAATCATGAATCTGTAAAATACCTTTCTACCTGTATAAGACGACTATTATTTGTGTTTGAGTTCTTCAAACAGGTTGAGATTCTTGATTTGATTGCTTCTCCTGCTTTCACTGAAATATCTGAATCATCGGAATTGCTAGAAAGAGTAGAGAATTTGGGTGATTGAGTTCATAGGATTTTAAAGTGTAACAAGAAGAATCCTGTTCTAAACACTTTAAGGGAATACGTTCCTCTGTTAGTTTAATAATTACTTTCAAAGATCTCATATTTGATGTAGGTGCGTTTTCAAAAAACTTGGTTAAATGCTCTATGTTCCTTGTAGGAAGAGCAGCTCTTCAGAAAAGAGTGATGGCATTACTAAGACGCATTGAACATCCAACTGCAGGGAACACAGAGGTAAACTTTCTTCTGAATTCACATACTCTTTGCATGCATATTTTTTTGAAAACAGAAAATACTGTTGCTACAAGTAGTTTTGAAGTTAAATCTTTATATATCTTATTTTAGGCCTGGGAGGATACACATGCAAAATGGGAACAAGCTACAAAACTAATCCTTAACTACCCAAAGACCAAAATGGAAGATGGGCAGGTGACTATGAATTTTTCCATAGGTTCAATCCTTAGAAATGCAAAATAACTATTTAAGCTTATTTATGTTAAGGAATTGAATTTTAATCTAGAAAAAGAGTTTTGTAGGCAGACTTAAGCTCCATGGAAGTATTACAGAAAAATAATGGTAATCAGTTGTCTGCTATGCTTACTAAGAGACCAAGAAGTAATTTGACTTAAATTGCTGTCAGGGAGATGGAGGCTGAGCTTAAAAATTAAAAAGAAATTGAAAAAAGAATAGTGAAAACTCTGGAATACTACTAGAGAAATTATGAAATCCCTTTCACTGGAAGTTTTTAAACAAGCTGCTGGCTCTCATGATTTAAATATGCTTTATCCTGGTGCAGAGCAGGGAATTGACTAGGCACCCCCCTTCAGACCTTTTTAGCCTCGCTTTTTCAACTTCCCTAAAACCAGTGCCTCTGTATAGATTGCTGTTCATACTATCACAATAAACTATAAAAGGTGAATCTTAGAAAATTCTTGAGACTGGAATTGTAAATGGCAGGATGTGTTACAGAATACTTTGAAATCCTGATCTCTCTCCGTTAGTTATGTTTAATTGAAGAGATTTCATCTTTAGCCGTTCTTTTTCAGGTTACTGAAAGTCTTCATAAGACAATTGTTAAGAGACGAATGTCGCATGTTAGTGGGGGAGGCTCCATAGATTTGTCTGACACAGATTCTCTTCAGGAGTGGATCAACATGACGGGGTTCTTATGTGCGCTTGGAGGAGTGTGCCTACAGCATCGTAGCAATGCGGGATTAGCAACCTACAGTCCACCTATGGGCCCTGTCAATGAGCGTAAGGGCTCCATGATATCTATGGTGTCCACTGAGGGAAATGTAGAGACTCCTGTTAGCAAATTCATCGATCGATTATTGACTCTGATGGTCTGTAACCATGAGAAAGTGGGACTTCAGATACGGACTAATATTAAAGATCTGGTGGGTTTGGAGTTGAGTCCAGCACTTTATCCAATGCTGTTTAACAAACTGAAGAACACCATCAGCAAATTTTTTGATTCTCAAGGACAGGTAAAGTGTTGATATATTCCTTCACATTTGTGTCTTAATAAAAAGCGTCTGTCTTGTCTTTCACATAGGTAATTGAAATTGATATCTGTTCATGTTTTGTACAAAAAACCTGCAAGCACTGTGATTGTATTTGACAACATGCATTAATAATTATTGCATCTGTGATTCCAGGCTCTATTTAACATGAAATAATTGAAAACATTCTTGAATTCTTAGTGAACTCTGAGTACAGAATCTGTGAGAATGTTCTCAGAATCGTTATGGCTGGTAGTATTGACATATTTAATCTTGACATATATTGGAATTCTTTTGGCTAGGTGATACTAGAAAAATGCTTGTCCATTAGATTTTTGAAATGCTGCAGTACAGTTGATAAATACCTTTTTTTTGGTTTTGTGTTCAAAGAATTAAGACCACCAATTTTCTCCCTGTAGGTTTTGTTAACTGAGACCAACACACAATTTGTAGAGCAAACCATTGCTATAATGAAGAATTTGCTTGACAATCATACAGAAGGGAGCTCAGAACATCTTGGACAAGCTAGTATTGAGACAATGATGCTAAATCTGGTTAGGTAAGAAATCCTGTTGACCTTCCTATACAAAGTAATATGTTTAAGAAGTGAGGTAGACCCTTCTAGTTTATATCTTTTCTGCTTGCATCCATGGAGAAGAAGCAGCTGACTTTCTGATCCTCCTCCTTATGGTTCTGACAACTTCAGTAATAATGGAGTTCATTTATCCTGTAGCATAAAGTATGCTGATGGAGGGTGACTTTTTTTTTTTTTTAAAAGAACTAACCATTCCATAGCTCAGCCCCATTCTTGTAAGCATTCCTGGTTTCTTTTCTGTACGGTGGTGTTAGTGGTTAAAAGCCAGCTGAAGGGCAGATTTCAATTTTATACTAATAGAAAACTTCTTTGGACAGAAGAAATTTGGTGCTGGTCTTCAGCTGCTGCAGGGGCTGGCTTGCTCACATGGAAAATAAAAAAAGGTAGCCCAAACACTTGCTAACCCATTATGCAAGTCTGCTGGGTCAGCCAGTGTGTAGGTTCTAACGTGGAACTGAAAAAATTTGTCAGATGTATGGGCCTTGTAGTATGAAGTATTTAATCAATCCTTTTGCTTTTTTCTTCAGGTATGTGCGTGTGCTTGGAAATTTGGTACATGCAATTCAAATAAAAACTAAGCTATGTCAGTTAGTAGAAGTAATGATGGAGAGGAGAGATGACCTTTCCTTTTGCCAAGAAATGAAATTTAGGTAAGTATTGCATTATATAACTTCTAGGATAGTGTAATGTGGACAAGTGTAGTTCTGTTTGGTTGCACGTTTAAAAAAATAAACCAAAACCTGTCTCATACCAGTATTCCTGGTATAGGGACAGTACTCCTATCTTTGCCTTCAGAATAATTTAGAGCCTGGTGCTGCATTAAAATTTTATTTTCATTGTGGGGGTACTAAACACAGGTACAAATTTTGTGTGTGATACAGACTGGAGTATTACTTGGTATAATAAAATCAGTTCAGTTCATCTTCAGTGTGTGGTGGTTCAAATAGTTCTTACACTGAATTTGTAGTAATTAAGAATGGCGCCAACAGTGGTAAGTATGTTTGGGGGAAGGATTGTTAAAAAAAAAACAGAAAACCAAAGCTAAAGCAATATGTCTATATGTAACAGGAACAAAATGGTGGAATATTTGACAGACTGGGTCATGGGAACATCTAATCAAGCAACAGATGAGGATGTGAAATGCTTGACAAGGTAAAAAAGAATACTATTAAACTGTTGCTAAAGTTGCTAACAGTGTTCCAGGTGGCATTTGATCCTCCAGATGAGCTGGCTCGTGTGGACTTCCTTTAGTGGTAGTAATTTTAAGGAAAAGACAGAAATTGAAACTTAAGTTTTGGTGAGCAACAACAGAATTGTATTTAATGCATAGTCTTAACTAACGTGGCTCTTGAGGTGGTGGTGGTTGGTTGTTTTTTTTAATCTACTGAATTTGTTTAATTCCTTTTAATACCATTTCTGATTTAGCATTAGGAGTGAACATTTTATTTGCTAGAGCTATGTCTTCATATGATGCATTCTGAAGAATAGAATCATCAAACATTATAGTGTTGAATTTATACTTAACTGGTTTTTTTGTGACAAATTTGGTTTGCAGTTGTTGTCCTTAATAGATATATTGCTTGAACCTGTACCATAGAATGTAATCGGTTTTTCCTGATGGGCAGAACTTTACTAGAATAACTTTTTTTTTAAAGATTCTTTTCACCTGCAGTTAGATATATAAGGAAAAGGGACGTGGTACTAGATGGGAAAATTATCAAGGGGAAGGAGAGACTGATTATGCTGAACTGATTCACAGCTTCTTAAAACTTTATTTTTCAGAGATTTGGACCAAGCGAGTATGGAAGCAGTGGTCTCTCTTCTTGCTGGGCTTCCACTACAGCCTGAAGAAGGAGATGGCGTTGAGCTGATGGAAGCAAAATCTCAGTTATTTCTTAAGTAAACAGTGACTTTTAACTATTTTTCTATACAATGACTCTAAGTAGATGCACCATATGACTTTTGTTACAAACTATGGTTTTTCTTCTAGCAGAAATAATTTTATTATCCAAAGAGAAATTACCTCTTATATATCCCATTTCACAAACCCCTGCCTCCTAGGTTTATGGAGACATTTTCATTTAGAAAATAATTATAAAATTTGGCTTTGTTTCTGCTTAATGCAGATGTACGCTTAATTCATGGGAGTGATTAGCTTGCTTTGATATTATATTTTTATCTATGAAACTTAAAATCACTTTCAAGACATCTGTTTGTAAAGGCACACCTGTGAACACTTGCTCGGTCTGAGAAAATTTGCATACAAATTTTAGGACGGTGCTTTCTGGTTGTTACAACACATTTGAAAGTTCGGACTATGCTACAGGAAAGATTACTTGGGGCAGTTACGAGGTTTTTTGGGAGGGTTATTGTCTATTTGCTACTGTATGAAAATCTTTTCAGATGGTTGCCTTTGCAGAATCTGTTTTACTTATCCAAGTCTTTTTCTTTTTCTTTAGATATTTCACACTGTTTATGAACCTTCTAAATGACTGTAGTGAAGTTGAAGATGAAAGTGCACAAACAGGTGGCAGGAAACGTGGAATGTCTCGAAGACTAGCTTCACTACGGCACTGCACTGTTCTTGCTATGTCAAATTTGCTCAATGCGAATGTGGACAGTGGCCTTATGCACTCAATAGGTAAAGTAGTTAGAGATAACTGTGCATAAATGAATACATAATGAAGACATTGGTATTTAATTTATTTTTACATCTTCCTTAGTAGTTCTGGGTTTTTTTAATCAGGCTTGGGCTATCATAAAGACCTCCAAACAAGAGCTACGTTTATGGAAGTCCTCACCAAAATTCTGCAGCAGGGAACAGAATTTGATACGTTGGCAGAAACAGTGCTAGCAGATCGGTTTGAGAGATTGGTGGAGTTGGTTACAATGATGGGTGATCAGGGGGAGCTTCCTATTGCTATGGCTTTAGCCAATGTGGTGCCTTGTTCTCAGTGGGTAAGTTGATTCATGCATTTTATTTCCTACGTTTTTGAAAATATTAAGACTTGAAATACAAATGAGTGCAAACATTAAGGGTGTAACAACAGTCTGCTAAAGAGAGATTAGACCTACCGTTCATGATAGCTAGCCTTTCCTAGTATATTCTTGAAAAGTGTACTGAATATGATTGTCAGGGATCTTGATTATAAACTGCATTTTTATAGTAAATTTTTTGTTAATATCTAGGAATGATTTTATATAGTTATTGTAATAAATGTATCTGGGCTGGTTATTTATTACAGATTGTGTGTGCTGTAATGCAGACAAACAGAACTGTATTTGCTCCTTTAGATTTTAGCAAGATGAATTGGGCTTTGTTATATAGCAGAATAACTGCTTATCTGGCCTAACCATTATGAATTTGTACAACTGGATATCATGAGGCAGATTTTTAGACAAGCAATAGCATAGGAAAGATGTAAACAGAGATTGTGTGTGTTTAATTTGATATTTACATGCAAGACTCCATAGCAAATTCAAAGCATTAGTACAAACTGCTTGGTGGTTTTTTTCATAATTCTTTTTTCGTACTTGCTTTGGCTCACTGCTAGTCAGATTAATGTTTCATTGCTTCTTTTAAGGATGAGCTAGCTCGTGTCCTGGTCACACTCTTTGATTCCCGGCACTTGCTCTACCAGCTACTCTGGAACATGTTTTCAAAGGAAGTTGAACTAGCAGATTCCATGCAGACACTGTTCCGAGGAAACAGCTTAGCCAGTAAAATAATGACTTTCTGTTTTAAGGTATATTATCTAATCTTTTCTCTCTGCTACAGATCACTTAATTAACAGGAAATGTTTATTAATCTAAAAATACGAAACTACCAGTCTATGGTGTTAAGCACTTGAGTAACTGGATTAGATGAAAATAGTACAGAGTTGCCTTTGGGTCTCAGTTTGAGTTAGTCTCAGCTCTCAGATTTGTTAAGTTTAGGGAGTTTTGCTTTTAATGTTTTAACATTTGATGAACTAGTTCTTTCAGATCTCTTATGCTCAGGCCCAACTAAAAAATACAGATCCTCCTGGAACTAACCTTTTGCCAAGAGTTCATGACAACCAGTTAGGCTTAAGCTTACAGTCAGTCCTCTTGAAAGTTTCCATGGCAATAAATGTTTCGTCTTGCCTAGTCTGTATATTCTGCATTGTAAAGAAGAAAACTGTCGCAGTAACAAAAACATTTGCAAGATTTGTAGATTTCAACAGAAATTAGTAGTTATTTAGAAAACATAACTCATTTGATACAAACATCTAAATATTTGTAAAAGTTTTGGTTATCTTAAAGTCCTTTCCTAAATAATCCTCAGTCATAGTAGGGCTCTTTAAACTTCTGACTAGTTTAGTTATACAAGTGATTCTGGGGCTAGTACCAGCTTGAAGACTGTTCCTGATGGTCGTCTTGTAACAGGAAATTTAAAGATGGGGGGACAAACTCTGTCTTGTTTATAGTTCCATTTCAGTTTAAATCGTGTAATACTATACAAACAGAAATGGGGTGTTGAGTCCCTGTGCTTTTAAGAAAGAATCCCATCTGGTTATTAAAGTGACCTACAGTTTTCTCTAGATTGGAAATTAATCAAAATACTTGTAGACATTGATCACAGATATGTTTCAGAAGTGAGACTATAATATAGAAACACCAATTTTACAGAAATCTGGCTTATGCCAAAAGAAATCAAATGTTTTCAGGCTCTTTTAACACTTACAGAATTTTGGAGTGCTGCTGTGAATTGCCATGTTAATCTGGCCACCTATTCTGATTTTCTTTCTACACAGGTATATGGTGCTACATATTTGCAGAAGCTTTTGGAACCTTTATTAAGGACTGTGATCACATCCTCTGAATGGCAGCATGTTAGCTTTGAGGTGGATCCAACAAGGTTTGAGATTCAAGGGGGGGAGCAAATGTATTTATTTGTAAACATGATTCCCAGTCATTGTAAATATAATGGGATTCCTTTTTCCTTGTTGCAAATATTTTTCTCATACTTTCATACTTTTCCACTCGTCACTTTACCAGACACATTGATTGTATCCGCAGTCTTTATACCCAGGGAGAATTGTACAGAGCTGTCCAACACAGCAAGATGAGTTTTGCTGCATGTCCTCTAAGCCCCGAGAGAGTAAGGAAGATAGAGAGCTCTTGCAGGACTACTTCTCCTACTTGCTACTTCATACTTTTATGTAGGCCACTAATGTGGGGATTTCCAGTAGTACCAGAAAGCATCTGCTTTAGGTCATTGAATTAATTACAGAAGCAAGATGGAATGCGTGCATGTTGTGTGTAATTTTTTTTGCTTTAATTTCTCTTATATCACTTCAAGACTTGGATTTAGTAGCTGTTGTTCAAGTGCTTTGAATTATCTCTAACTCTTAGAAAAACTTTAAGTATTAATCTTCTAATTAGCTCACCAAAATAGAGGCCTTCTTTTTAATAGTTTAACTCTCAAATGTCTGTGTCTACCTCAAAAATTCCTTTCAGAGAAACCGTCAAACTGATAATGTAATTATCAGTTGGAATTACGTATGCATGTCTTTGTATGGAATGGTGTGAGAGAATCCCACTTACAGCTGTCTGTTTATTACTGAGTTTTAAATGACCTTGTATTTGTAACTTACATGGTTTAAAATATTGATGGAAACTTTTTGTATAAAAGATCATAAATATTTAGTAAGATTTCTCTTTACCCTGGGAAATAAGGTTACTACCAAACATACAAGTACAGCTAGTATAATTTATTTGATTGCTGGCCATACATTTATGGGTCTGTTTCAGGCTGGAGCCTACAGAAAGCCTTGAAGAGAACCAGCGGAGTCTTTTGCAAATGACAGAAAAATTTTTTCATGCAATCATTAATTCTTCTTCGGAGTTCCCACCACAGCTTCGCAGTGTGTGCCATTGTTTATACCAGGTATGCCTGCAATGGTTGCCTGCCCCTAAACTTTGGGTTTTGTTTTTATAATTCTAGCAGTTTGGAGCTTGGTCCAGTAGTGGGTGCACAGTGGGCATTTCTTAAAGACTGTTTTCAGGTGTTTGTTAAATAACAGGAATCTAAACATAGGGACTGAATGGTGTTTTAAGACTTGGGTTGGCAATCAGGAGGTGACTAAACATTATTTTTTTTTAAGGACTTGAATCACAGCTAAGAACTCAGACCTAATAAGGCAGCAATAATCTCTGCTTTAGCATCTCTGTGGGAGACTAAAGATTAACTAGGGAGGTAATGGTTATACTTGCTTTTATTGGTTTCTCATATGGGCCATCTACAGAGAAGGCAGCAAAAGAGGAAAATAAAAAAAATCACTGCTGCGTTTAGAGAATGCAAAACTGTTTTGAATATAAGTGTTCTTGTTCACTTTTTATACAGGATCAATTAAATCAGAAATAAAGTTAGTTAATTATCTAAAAGTCTTATGGATCATGGCTTTGATAAACCTTAACTTTGTGAATAAAATAGCTACTTGTGCAGTTACTAACTCTAGACAGTTGTTCTCTGCATAAAAATAGAGGCAATTTCTTCAAGAGCATTTTTCTCTGAAGTGAATTTTTCCAAAAATTGTCTATGAAATGTATTACTCAGGTCATTGCTCCAGGAATATTATTTAGTCATCCATTACAGGTGGGCACGATCTTATACTTTCTGCCTTTGATAGAAAAGCAGGTTAAAAAGGGTGTAAGATGCTCGTAAGAAAAAAACCTGAATGGTCTTCAGTGGGACCACAGTAGTTAGAAGTCCTAAATTTTAGAAACTGTGGATTGAAGCTGAGTATAATGGAAGGAAATAGACATATAAAATGCTGTTGGCTGTATTTAGTAGAGAATTGCCTGTGGTTATATTTGCTTCCCTAAAGATGATCATTTGCGGGTGAGGTCAAGACACTGCATCATTCAGGCTTTATTCTGATCACACTCAGTGCCATGTCTCGTAATCATGTTCTGAAAGCAGGAGTCTCTGGGTTGCTGTGGAGAACGGTAAGGAAAGCCATTAACTTGTACCGGGAAGGAGGTCCACTGGCATATAATTTGGTAAATAACATTAGCCTTGTAACTGGGATGCTGCAAGATGCTCTGTACTTTTGAGGATGATAGTTCTTGTATTTGGGAGTTAGAATGACAACAGGAATACATTTTGGTCTATGAAGTGAAATATCTTCTATCTGCTGTGGGCAGCACATTCTGATGGAGGTACTCTTGCCTGTCAGAGACCTGGAGTATGTTATTGTATGCAAAGCGCTGATGTACTTTGATTAAGCTGCTGACCAAACATTTTGCAAACACAGAGTATTGAGCAGTTCAG